AAAAAAAAAAGAATGATACCAGATGATTATGGTAAGTCAGATGATCAAACAGGAAATGGGTAATTCCTGCAGGAGTGTCTTGCTAGCAAGAAAAACAAAGTACTAAAATGACAGTACCGAAATCTTTAGTTGAGCAAGTTAAAAGTTTCTGGGAAGTCATGAATCATAGTTGAGAAATCTGTGATTTGAGGAACCGAAACTCTTGACTTCTAATGATATTTATTCTTGAGAAGATTGTTTTTGATGATTGGAAAAAAGCAGCTTTATGAATGAAGGGACCTTGTCTTGTTCATAACTGTATCCTCAGTGCAAAAAACTGTTCCTGATATGTAGTAAGTGTTCAATAAATTTTGTTATATAAATGAATAAATAGAATATTCATCAAGAATACTTACTTTGTCAAAATGATATATTATGCCAAGAAGAGTAGCATTCATTACTTTGTTTTAGTGAATGGCCATAGTGTGGCCCTCAAAGAGAAAAACACCTCTGCAACACTCTTTATTATTAGGATGCTGGTTCATTCTTCATGCCATAGAGAGGGGCTTTCTAGGACACAACTTGCTATAAACCTCTGTAGAGAAATTCTTTTTTTTTTTTTTAGAAATTGTTTCTATAGCATGATGATCCTTACTCTTGCAAATAGTCTGATAATCCTCATTCTAGATATATCTTTCTGGGTAATTTGGGGAACAGAAAAAGAAGATTTTGGTGGGAAGCGGAATCAATGTCAGGTATCCTTCTGGATCAGTCTATATCGGAAATTCCTGATTAATATTCTCACCCAAAACATCCCAATTTCAATGTCATGTTGGAGGAAAATCAGCTAAGAACTGTTTTAAAAGAAACAAACAATTAGAAGGGTTGGTTTTCTAGGTATATAGGAAATTTAAAAACAAGCCCTGTTTAGCAACAAAGAGAAGGGAACAAATATATGTGTTTGACCATGGAAACACACAGATGAAAAAAGACAAAGAGAAAGAGGGATGGTAGACAGGTAGGATAGAGTAATTACATCCAGAACAAAGGATTTAGATTTGATTTTCAAAGTCAAAGTCAGAATTCCTAGTGAAGAATGTGGATTAATAAGGTGGTGGTTTTACCTGACAACATCCATTGAGCTTGCTCCAGATTTAAAAAAGTCTGTTGAGTCTTCGATGACAGGGACGTTGCTTAGAATTCCAGCCCAGATGACCTATACAACAAGGGTAACTTTTATGAGGGATGTGCCATGTAGAACACTGGCAGAGACTGGCTAGATCCTCACCAAACCTATTTCTCCTTCTTCTTGGATACATGGCTTGACTGCATTTCTCAGCATCTCTTCAAGTGAGATGCAACCATATGACTGACTTCCAGGCAATGAATACGAGTGGAAGTGATCCGTACTCCAAGCCTTGGCCCATGAAAAACCTCCCTCACACAATTCTCTGTGCTCTTTTGCCCTTCTTGGTTGTCTGGAATGGAGATGACCTCCATGGTGACCTTGAGGATAGCAGAACCTGAGTCCGAGAGTGACTCCACCCCTAATCCTCATGTGTCAGCTTCACCACTAATCCCCATGACAACCTAAAATTGCTTTGGGTTATTTATGTGAATGAAAAACAAATTTGCATATAAATTTGGGGGTTGATTTCCTATTGTAGCTAATACAAAAAAAGAGGAAATAAAATTCTGTCCCCACTACTTTGAGGGCTGATGGTACCAGGTACAAAATTGCTTCTAGGGTAAGGGAAATATTGAGGACATGACATGTTCACCTTGATGGTCTCTGCCACCTTCACCTCCTCAGCTGTAAGTTCTAACACTGAGGTCTCATCTGTTGAAAAGTACTGAGAGGCAGGAATCATTTTTCCATCTTCAAACTGCAGATTTCTCACCATCAGCTACAAAACAGCAACAAAACAAGTGGAAAATTTGAGGGTTTGGACAATTCAAAAGTGAGGTTCTTGGGAGAAGGAGTCATTTAGGCTATATGGGACTAAGGACTAGCTTATTTGGGTAGTACAAAAATATGGATTAAAAGCACTCATCACGATGTATAAAAGGACTGAAACGGTGTTTTAATAACGGCAGCAGACAAGATAAAGTTAAGTCTAGAGGTCGATGCATCTCAAAATGGATAAACCCGTGAACAATTGACATTTGGATGTAGGTATTTGGATTACTAAAACCTATGTAGCTACAATTACTACCACTATTACTGCCATCATCTGAACATTGACTCTGTAGCATGCACAGTGCTAAGTATGTTATATGCTGAAGTATCTTATTGAATCTCACAAATCCTGAGGGAGGCAGGTGCCATTATTGTCCCCATTTTACTGATGAGGAAACGGAGACTCAGTGAGGTTTTGCCCAAAGCCACACAGGTGGTAAGTAACAGAGCTGGCATTACAACCCAAAACTAGCTGGACCCTAAAGCCTACAATCTTAATCTCTGTTCTGCAAACTACCAGAAAGTATCTGAAAGCAGCAAATTCCCTTTTGATTTATTTTGGGGGAAGCCGCCCGAGAGTCCACTGAGGCCAGGGCCCACACTCCCAAGCACGGGCAGCGGGGGTGGGCGCCTGCCTGGTGAGGCAAAGGCAAGAACCACGGGAAGGGGGCCACGCCCCTCTCGTTTGATCCTTCCAGATCAGGCAGTGGGTAAGAGGACAGATGGGATGACTCTTGTTTTTAATGGAGAAACAGACTCAGAGGCGAGAAGAGTCCTGCCCAAGACCAGTTAAATGGCAGAGCAGGGATTCACATCCTGTTTCCTGACTAAATTCCAAACTCTGTACTGTATCACAAAACACACTGTGCAGGTTCTTGGGACCCATCCTGGGGAGCCTTCTTCTCATCCAGGCGCATAGAGCCAGCTCATCCCCAGAGCGAAATGGGGCAGATGTCCTGAGCCTCCTGCATCCCACTGCAAAGCCAGATTACCTTGTGAAAGATATTCCCTTCATAGCTTGGGTGATAGAAGGAAACCACAAAAGTTACTTTATAGGTGACCGTATTGAACACTCACTGCTTTTCCATCGTTACCAAAAAGAACAAGTCCGTTTTTGGTAACAAGACCAGGCTTCTTGGCACCTTTGATTTCCAGTGGTTCTCCAGGAGGCACGGAGCTAGTCAGTAACGATGAGCCATAGACTGTGACCATCTAATAAAGAGATCAAACCCAGGCTGTGACATGAAGAAGTTACACCTATGAGCAGGGCTATCCGCAAGCAGCTCTCACTCCCTGCAAAAAAAGCTGGAACTGCCATTTATGATAAAATTGGGACACCCCAATGTGAGAGACTAGATCAAACATCTGTAGAAATGGCACAAAGCAAGAGATAGTCTTTGAATATATGACTGAAGAGTTTCAAAACTGCCCAACACCCAGACAACATAAGTAAACATGTATCATTCATTCACACTGATACAAAGGAGAATCAGATAAATAGCTCTCACAGACTTTGAGGGTTGAAGGTAGAGTTTTTGAGGGGAGTGGAGGTGCTGGTGGGGGAGGGTCAGTGAGGATAGATGCAGAGTAGAAAACAGACTATTACACTGCAGTGGGATTATTGATGGGAAGTACAGGGTGCTTTGTGGGTCAGTTCATGGAAACAGGACTGGATCTAGACTGTGACCAAGAGAACACGACACTGATTTATTAAAATTCTATGACTATAAGCTATCATTTTATTGAGCACTATAATAGTTGACATTCACTGAATACTTTATATTTTATGGCAGGGACCAAGTACTTTCATGAATTAACATGTATTAACTCATTTAATCTTCACAATAACACACAACATAAAGGAAGTGCTATTATTAGTCCCATTTTACAATAAGGAAACCAAGGCACCCAATGGTTAAGCTGCCCAAGGTTGCACAGCAAATGATGGCAGAGGCAGAATTTTAACTGAAATATTCTAGCTTCAGATTTCATCCTCTTAACCCCTGCACTGAACTTTCTCCCTTGGTTTTCCATTGATCCCACATATCCTCATTGGCACCTAATATGCACTAAGAACTCTACTTAAATGTTGAGATTCTCAAGACAATTAACAGGAAGTCCTTGCTCCCAAGGGGTTCATAGTCTAGTGGGGGAAGAGGGATAGATAAAAAGACACTTAAGGTACATAATATGCTGTGTCAGAGGTAGGCAGGGTATTGTTGGAACAGAGAGGACAGACACCCAATCCCACTAGGCTGGGCCTGTGAGATCAGGAAACTTCTTAGAAGGGGTGAAACCTGAGAAGCTGGGTTGAGTTGAGATTCCCCAGGGATAAGAAGGCCGTTTCTGCTCCTTTCCCCGCCCACCTCCTCTGCCTCATCTCTCCTGTGGCTTCCACACACCTGCTCCTCACACCTGAGGCTCCGGCTTCATTATGGCTATGTGACTGGGTAATACACTTTCTGTCTCTGGGTCTTCATCTCTTTTTCTCGTTCTCCACCTATTGACCTCTTCTCAAAGTACAAGCAAATCGGTCAGATTTCCTAGGAAGTGGTTCCTACCACACCTAAGTCTGTGCCTCAGGTACATATAGCTGTCTCACTGCATTATGAGTGTCTATTCACTTCTCTGCTTTTTCCATAAAACCGCAGACTCCTTGGGAGCAGAGGTCGTGCCTGGTGCCTGCTTCACTCCAAATGCTCGATACATACTGAGTAAAGAGAGGGTATTTTCTTTTAGCAGGTCACATATTCCTAGAATCACAGACCCTTCTCATGACCAAGGGAAGACCAGAGAGTACCTAGACTTACAAGTATGTGTAATACCTCTTAAAAAGTAGCATGAGAGAAAACAATTGGTCCCTAGAACATACCTGTCCATTTATCTCTGTCCAAGCTCCAGGAATTTTATCATGACCTCGGATCCAGTTATGTAAAACTTCAGCAGACTGATCCCAAGAAATCTAAAACAGCACAAAGCACAAGCTGAACCTCTTCATGTTGACAGTGTCAAAGGTCACAGAAGCATTTCTCTCCATCAGTAGCAGAAGTGGGTAGGGATGGGGCCGGCTGGCTTGGAGATCTACATTTTGGCCAGGAAATGGTACATTGGGAAAGACTTAAAGGTTAAGGGCCATGAACGTTGAGATGAGTTATTGACTTGATATAAGTACCTCAGCATTTTCCTTTTTCTGGATACCTTCGTATGTTGCCCCTTCTTCTGTCTGGGGAATCCGAGGAGCTTTTCCATCGGCTATGAGTTGGACAGCTTCCACCTAAAGCCAGAAATATTACCTGTGTAACGGCCCAATGGGCAACAATGGCATGGTCTGTTTAATTGATGTTTCTACTTAGAATTACTATATATAAATCTGTGCAGAGAGTCAGACTAGGATAATAACTACCATTTCTTCAGATCCATCTATGTGTCACGCAATGTGGTAGCTACTTTATGTAAAATGGCCCTTATAGCATCACACCAATCCTGCAAGGTGGATATTATTATTCCTGTCTCACAGATGAGGAAACTGAAGCTTAGAAAAGTTAAACAGCTAGAGCAAGATCACAGAGATAGCTTATAGGTGTCAGAAGCAAGCTCTGCTTCCAATTCTGTCTACTGCCAATATCAAGCCTGTACCCTTAAAACGACTCCATTGTTTAAACAAATTTCAACCTCTCCTTGGTGATCCAATGAAAAATTCAGGAATATAATTGTAAAATAAGTCATTATGGGTTATTTCTGCTCATCATGATGACTCTAGAAAGTGATACGTTGTTATATTTAAGTAATTCAACTTGCTTTTTAGCTTAATATGCCTGGAATTTTAAAAAGTTAACATCTCCCCATGAGTTTGATTCCCTTTGGGGTGCGTCCTGCATTTTCTTCCATCTCATTTTTAAGTTTGCCTTAAGTTCAGGGCCTCTCTCCTTTACTGGGAGGCCTATATGAGTTCAAGTTCTCAGATTTCTCTCTAATTACTCACAGCTGATGACCAGCCTCCCCAAGAGCACATGAAGGGAGCCACCTAGGAACAAGGCCAAGGTCACAGCTCATTCATTCTTCCCACTTCTAGCTGTAATATCATCCGGACTTAGGTACAGGATCCAGGCTTGAGCAAATGCCACTGAACACACCTAATACTATTTTGATTGTAATTATCATTTTTGAGCACCTACTGTGTGCCAGATGCCTCACACAAATGCCATTTAATTTTCACAGCAACTCTATAAGGCAGGCAGTATTATCCACTTTTTACAGATAAGGAAACCAGGAAGCTAAAGAGGCTAAGTGGCTTGCCTATTGTCATACAACAAACAAGTGGTAGAATGAGAGCTTTGGTGTCATTAAGTCATTAAATGACACAAACGAAGCACTGCTGTCCTCCCTTCTAAATCAAAGGCTGTTGCTTTACATCATCTAACTGTGAATCTCTGTGTTGCTTCCCCTCATGTAAGACTCTGGAAAACATTAAGTAACACTGAAATTATCTTTCAATATTTTTACAGGCTAATATATTTTTACATTGTGGTGCACCTGCTTTGAGCTTTTTACCCACAGCACATCTGAATAAACAAAGAAATGCCAAATTTCACCCTGTTTACATAGACTGAGTTCAAATACTTTTGGAGGAAGTCCAAATTACACAGCAAAATTTCTTAAGATTCTGTACACTTCTTTATAATTTGTCATTATAAACAGGGTTGGGGATTCAAGTATTTGGTAAAATAATTGAAGCAGTTTGATTGCTAGTTCATCCATTTGATCACTGCTCTCAGAAGATTAAGTCAGCTTCATAGACTAAAAAATTTTAAAGTTCAGATTTCCACCCTAAATATACCATCCTATTGGTAAATATAAACCTAATTTTGTTTTTCAGATTTATATTTTTAGTAGAAATTCCTAGGAGCAAAATTTCAATAAATGAAAACAAAATTCAAAACATTAAAGGTTTACTAAATTCTTCTGGATGGCATAAATATACTGACCATGGCTTTGATTCCTTCAGGAAAAAGAAATCGATTATAAAGTGCATCCACTGTATCATTCGGTTCAACATCACATGACCTCTGAAGAAGGATGGGTCCTGTGTCTAAACCATCATCTGCCCAGAATACAGAAAACCCAGCCTTCTTATCTCCCATAATTAGAGTCCTGTGAAAAGAAGAGTTTCAACTTAAAATGTTGATTAACTAGATCATCATTTATCACATAATGTTTTATCACATAAAAGTGATGAATTAGAGATATTGAAGTACAACATAGTTACAATACAATGGAAAGTAGATGGTGAATGAAGCTACCATGAGAAATCAACAGTAGAGCCAGAAGATGTCAGAACTCATAACAAGCAGTACTTAGTGGTACTGCTATTTTAAGCATCCTCATGTCTACGGCCTTGTTATCACATACTAATGACTTGTAGTCTACTCAAAAGGGCATGAGAGTCCATCATTTCTACTACTCACTAACTCCTTGGTGTCAGCTTTCTACTGCAGCATCAAGTAATTTTGCCCAGCTGGGTCCAATTCTTATATCATACTTAAGTCTGTATTAGGCACAATAAGTCAATGGAAGATAAAACACAGGATACTCAGTGCGATGTGAAGAGAACTGATTATTAATTTAAGTTGTGTAATTCAGGAATCAGCATCACTTAGAGCTAGAAGTAGCTCTAGATTGTCTGCATAAATTGTAGTAAAAGATGGTTGATTAATTCAACTATTTGTATTTTGTGCTCTTATACAGCTTAGCCCAAGAGAAAATGCCAGGCCTACAGGAGTTTATAATATATACAATAAGCTGGATATGTGGGCTAATACATATAAAAGCAGACCAGAGAGTAGGCTAATATAGACAGGGTATGAAGTAGTACATCAGCCATGTTCATGATCTAAATCATTTTTACTTACCTGAGCAATTAATCAAGCCATACCTAAATCAATCAATCAAACACTCATTTCAGAAATACTGAGGAATTAATTGGCATTACGGTATCAAGAGCCTTGAAAATATTGATATACTTTGACGCAATGATTCTCCATGTTGAAGCAACGTGAACTGAGGACAAAATGCAAGTTAAGAACAAAGATATCAACTATAAGACTACTTAAAGAGCAAAAAAAAAGTCATTCATGTAATCAGACTTTAAATACACTGAAAAGTTCTTTATGACATTTAAACTAAGGGTAGATATTCTGCCTATTCAATAACTTGACACTGAGAGATATCTGGATAATGTGCAGGTAAAAGAGAGATGGGAAAGGCCCACCTCAACCCACAGCATAGCATGCCTTTGGTATTGGGTACTTACAGTGCACCAGGCATTGTTCTTGATGCTGGGAAATATAGCAATAAAATTGTTAGACCATAGTCATCTTGTGTTCTCTCAAGAAGCTTAAAGTTCAATGGAAGAAGACAGACAACGAAGAAGATAATTTCAGGTAATTCAGCATTTCCTGAAAAGTACTTGAAATGTTTATTCTATGCAAAGAAAGTTCTATGGTAAATAGGTTTGGGAACAGTGTGTTCTCAAATTCCATCTTGGAGGTTACGCTCCTCGCATTAAAGCACACATTAAGAGCTCTAAGAAGTCCTGCAATGAAGGAATCCAGCATAAACCAAGCTTGTCTGACCATAGACCTTCGTTCACTCAATACCTAGTTACAGCCAATGGAGCCAGTACTCCACAGACCATGCTTGGGAAATGCTGTTCTGGCTTATGCTGCTCTCACTCTCAGGGGAGTTCGTGCAATAGTAGCAATCACGCAGGACCTCACAATTAGTCAAGCATACCTTGATCACCTAGGTAAAAATCAGAAAGATTATGGGCAATAGAAACAGGCCTACCCTTTCTGTTATTAAAAAAAAAAAATCTCACCAGTTGATAGCAGAGGCTCCTCTGTGCCTGGGAAGGATGGACGGATGATAAATGATGGAACCATGCTTTGGATTGTCAATTACATCCATGGGGATGAACTGAGTGCAGAATGGAAGCACGTTTAACTCAGCACCCACGGATCTGTAGGCCTCTGCCACCTCCTTTATGGTCTTGCCCTTGGCTCTCCATCGAGGGAACTTGAACACAGGGGTTCCATCTTTCTCTGCAGCCAAAGCTGAGCATGGAAGAGAAGATTATTTTCATCAAAACTAATTTAAGCCATCATTTTATATTGCTATGGATTTACACATTGTAATTTTACAGCTTCATAAAACATTTACAAATAAAACATGGTGAAGAACAATTTAGATTCTGACCAGGATTTGACCTGTTACAATTTTACCAGGATTCATTCATTTTTCTAATGTGATTTTTATCTACGTATTTAAGGTGTAATATATTTGAACTCAAAAGTTTGTGGGTAGATAATATTTTGAGATTTTAACTGAAGCTTTTTCTTTTATAGATCAAAATTTGTACCTTTGTTACTGATACAGCCATTTAAAGAACATTTGCTTGTTTATTTTTTAGATTTGGAACCAAGCGCCAATACAGCACCATCCAAGTCAGGCAGTCTCAGCCTCTAGCACAAATGGAAAACCTCGAGTCCTTTCCCAAACCTGCTTCCTGGGGGGGAAGTCCCGTTTATCACAGGGAAAACCATAGATCAGAACACATTCTCCCCACCAAACAGGCAGATCCCAAAAGATAAAAGGAGAAATTAGCTGATCTGAGCCTGTCCAGTTCCTTCTCCCAAATTCACCAATCGGATAAGTTCGTGGAGGAGAGAGGCTGAGGATGGAGAACGCATGCTTCCCATAAGGGTTCTGCCATACTGGCGGAGATCTGAGACTCTTTGCTAAGGGTAATGTCCTTTCCCAAAGAAATGACTCCATGCTACCTCTGTGTGAAATGGCATGACCCTCCAAAGTGTAGATTTTATTTTTTCCATAATAAAATATCATTTTTTACTAACTACATACCTTGGTAATATACATACCAGATGTATATTAATTACATATACAGTAATACCTTGGTTTGCGAGCATAATTCGTTCCAGAAAACAAACTACTTATATTGCATGACATCTCATGTTTACCACGTTAAAATGTATTACAGCAAAAAGAAAAAAAAGTGTATTAGAAATGTTTTCTCATTTTGTGGAACACTCACAAACCATGTTACTTGCAATCCAAGGTCTTACTGTATTTATTTTCCATCAACACAAAGTAACTACATTTCTGGCAATACCCAAAAGTCTAAACCAAGGCTTTTCACCTGCAATTTTTTGTCCTCTTTCCTTTCTCCCCGCCCGATCAACATTCATTGATTCCAGATTGGGATGATGATTCCACCGCAAAGCCTAAATTCTGAAGCCTAATGATTCCTAAGGACTCCAGTCACCAAGGTGACAATCACCTTGATAATCCATTTGGAAGAATTTGAGAGGCAAGTATGACAATGTCCACAGAATGTAAATGTTCATAACATGTTCAAAAACTGTAAACAACTCAAATGTCAGATGATAGGAAAATGGATAAATAGTGGCCCAGAACTGCTTCGTCCAAGAAGAAAAGTAAAATTTTAGGGTTATTGCTATATTGTTTTCCAACCAATGTGCTATGTCATATCAATGATTTATAAAGATCCAAGTTATCAGCCAAGATTTCTAGATGCTAGTTCTATTCCTGACCTGTGTTGTCTATATACTGTTTCTATCTCTGTGTCGTGCACCCTTTCTTGATAGAACTGTAGTGTGCCAATCGGAATCACACTGCAGATTTGCTCAGAAGATGGCTATCTTCTTTACCTGCTTTCGTCACCAAGCAGCCATAGCTGTAATTTGTTCTGAGACAAATGTGTTCTTTATGACCCCACATCCATTTCTATTGGGTTGTCTAAAAAAGTCATGATGCACTTTTGCAACGAAAAACAGAGAAAAATAGGTCATGACTTTTCCAACAACCCAGTATTATTGGCTGTGGTCTTCCCTCCACTCCTATTGGCCCTTTTGCATAAGACATTATTCTGGATGTCCCATAGCCCCTTTGGAAAGTCAAAAGCATAATTCAGGAAAAGCACATGCCTGGAAATTCCTCTGATGGGCCTGGTAATCACATGGAAGTAAGTGGAAAGATGCTTAATACAACAGGGGCCCACACCTGTGGCTTTGGGGCCCTCATAGAAGGGAGGGTTGTTTAGTCTATCCACCATGCAAATAGACTTGGCCTGAGAAAGCTTTCTATAGGTAGAATGGACGTGGCAGATCCCAGAAGGGAGGCATGCAGCCTGGGTCTTCAGGACCTGTGGTAAACAAGTAGAAGTACAGAAATGCTAAGGAGAGATGAGGGGTCTGAGCTGGGCACGAGACTGAAGAGCTGAAAGGCCAGTGCAGAGTCCTGGATCCAGTCATTCTCAGATACACTCACCCAGGGGGTCAGCTTTTCCATCCTTGTCTGGAACTGTGAACACCCCTACGACTCGATGGCCCTCTTTGCAGAGGTGGCTGTAGACTTCCTGTCCAAAAAGGCTTTGACCAATAAGGGCCAATTTCAGCTTGTTTTTGAAATAAACCTATGGAACAATTCAATGATGACAGATGTTAGCAAGGATAGAAGGTATATGGATAATAAACTTCTTTTTTCAATCATACAGGATGACTTGAGGACTACGAAAGACTCAAAACTAAAATTTTTATTCACATACACTGAAACGAAACTATATTATATATAGATAGTAGTGAAAAAATTTCACTCCTAAGTATTCCTCTGGGATTGAATATATTTTTACAAGCCATTTCAACTTCTTGGTGAAATGAGGTCAGATGTTAACAAATCAGTGCAAGTTTCATAGTAAAAAGCAGTTTAACTTTGAGCAAGATCTACTCCAATGTAACAATGCTTTTATGCCCCTGCAATAAGAACTGGGCTCATCTCTTACCTCCAAAAGAGGCTAAGAGCTAACATCTAGTATAACATAGGGATCAAAAGCAGGCCCTCATTAGTTGTGTGGCCTTAAGCAAGTCACTAACTTCTGTTTGCCTTTTTTTCTCGTCTATAAAATGGGAATAATAATGTCACCCTCACACAATTTTGATTGAAGTAGACGACTTAATATGCAATAGGCTTAGCGCAGTGTCCAACACAAAGTACAAAGCTTTTACTGTTTAAGTAAAAGCTTTAATAATGTTTTAAAGATTTTGCTATATGCTAGACACTGTTCTGTGTTTTTTCATATAGCCCAGAATTCCAAAATCCTTGGTAAGTGGCCCAAAGTCATTCGGCCTCAAAACCTGGATTGATCTAATGGAATGTCTTCATAGTACTTATAGGTTTCTTATCAGTTTGCACAAACTCATTTGGCTTTAAATTTAGCCTGAGCTGACATAATGCTATTTGTAGCTTTAATAATACTTACAAGCACTATATAAATATTCAAATTTTTGCTGCTGAAAAATCAATGTGTTTGCTTACAGATTCTGTCCTAGACCCTAATATGAATTGTATATAATGAACAATCTATGTGCCATATTAACTTTATAAGTGTGAATAATTCTGAACCCCAAAACACATTTGGCCTCACACATTTCAGATAAAGAATTGAGGCACATCATTTCATTTAATTTTATCAATACAAATAACCTGTTATTATCCTCCATTTTGTACCATTTTATGAATGAAGAAACCAAGGCTTAGAAATGCCAAGTATATCCCCAAGGTCATACTGGCAGAAAGGGAGAGAACTGAGATTTGAATCCAGGTCTGTTTGACTCCAAAGCCCACGTATGTACTTAAAAATCAAATAATTAAAATGAGCTATCACCATACCGCTTCCATTTTCTTTTTACAAGATTAACACCCATGCACAAAAATACAGTGATTGTCAAGAAATGTAAACACTATATAGGTAAGAGTGGCACTAAAGGGGTTCAAGTTTTTAAGGACTGTCTTTATGCAATTATGCCTTTTGCAAATTCTCCCCAAATGGAGCCTTTTTACAGAGCTTAAGGTAACATGTTGACAGGATGATTGTAAAGGCGGTGATGAAAAGCCATCAGGGGAAGAAGACTAAAAGCAGGATTGTGGGTGTAGAGACAGTAATCGGAGGGTCATAACTTCCTATGTGCTTCCCATTTTGGCAACAGACCAACCCCATCCAGTTGCCCCAGAACTCTTTCCACCTTTCATTCCTCCATGTTTGAATATGACTCCACAGGGTTCTGATGTAGAACTTCCCCCACCTCAATCTAAATGGGATTTTAAACTAGTAAAGCCTCACTGTGAAAATCTGGTTATGAAGAAACTTAATGTTCTCTTATCTCCCACTTTATTAAGGGCATAGATAGCATCCCTTTTTAAGCATGAACTTAAAAGCGTATGGGTTGACACCTTCCCTGTAATTGAGCTCATAGTTAAACAGTTAAGTTTTTAGTTTAAAACTCCTTTTCCAGGGCTAGCAGAAGTTTCTATCCCCAAAGAGCCTAGAGCTTCAATGTTTAACAGGTATTTGGAAGCAAGCATATTAACTCTGTAACAACAACACAATTTGCCTACACAAAACACTCATTTCCTCTCATCAAAAAATCGAAATGATCTTTAAACATTCTATCTTCAAATCCTATAATTAATGCTGTGGTTTGAATTAGAACTGACCTGTTGGCTATCTTACACAATTTGGCTTTACTTCATACCATTACCAATGCCATATATTTTAAGATCTCTAAAATACTACCTTTAAAACACACAAGAGCCAAGAGGCTGCACTGACTCAAATGCAGTGTGCTGCTTAGCTGTTATCTGGTTATCTGGAGTTCAATTCTAGATTCAACAATTCCCCAAGAATTTAAAGAAACTGTGTCAGTACCTTTGGAAATACTACATTCATTGAAATACTTTCTGAGCTCAGTGCTAAAGCTGAAGCTACAAAGGTGAGTTTCCATCACTAAGAAATTTTTAGATTTTATGATTTTAAATGTGTTTACAATGAATTAGCATAATTCCAAAAACCTGGACGTGGATATTTTACCTCAGGATTATTTCTCCAAGTATAACCTGAGGACTGACTGCCCGTGTTGGCGGAATCAGTTGGAAAGGTATGTTAAAAATGTGGATTCCTGAGGAAGGTCCAAGATGGTGGAATAGGTAAACGCTATATCCGCTGCCTCCCAGGATCACATTAAAATTACAACTAAATTGTAGAACAGTCAACTTTGAGGATCATCTGAAGACTAGCTGAATGGAACCCCAATAACTAAGGATATAAAGAAGAGGCCACATCGAGACTTGTAGGAAGGTTGGAGATGCAAAATGAGCAGACCTCAAGCCCACAGACAGTGGTCGAGCACTAGGAGGGACACCTCAGTGGCAGAGGGCCCCCCTGCAGAGTGAGGGTTTCAGCCCCACACCGGGCTCCCCAGCCCAAGGGTCCTGTGCCAGGAAGAGGCATTCCCATAACATCTGATAGTGAAAATCATCGAGGATTCCATGTATCTGTCCTAGTGAGGCAGAATGCAGCTGGAAACACAGATGTTCTTTTAAAGGGCCTGTGCACAGACTCACTTGCTTGCAAGCACTCACCATGGGCTCTGGTTGGGAGGCCGGCAACTTCGGAGGCTCCAGAGACATACAGGGGAAGACTGAGTTGTGTGACTTCAGGGCTAGGGCTAGAGGGACAGCCACCATTATCCCAGTGTGGAGCCTGCCTCATGTGTAGCCTACAGGAGGGTACCATCTTTCCTATGTTGAACCCTCCCCCAAAGGGCCAAATCTGAGACACCAGTTGTCTGGTAAAATACACACATGCACCACCTTGGTGATGCCCTGGGTCCCCACACTGCCAAGGTACGGCGGCATCCCTGGGCGAGCTGCAGGAGGCCTCTGCAGCAGCAATGCCCCACAACACCCTGGGAAACTTTCGGTGGTGAGTGGTCAGCCCAGCTCATGCTACAGCTTTTCTTGGGGGCTCTCGGGGATCTGCAGGCCTGAGGCAAGTGGTGGCAGGCCCTGGTGTTTTCAAGGCATTTACACAGTGTGGTCATAAGCTCAGCACTGGCGCAAGAACTAAAACTGCATTAACTTTGTGAAAAACACCAGCCATATCCTATGACTCCCTGGGACCCCTGCCCCACCCAAATCGGGCAACATCACCGGGGGCACTGACAAAACTGGGTCAACCAGCCCAGCCCGCACACCTAGGGCTGCTCTTTCAGTGGCTGAGCCTTACAGGCAGCTGGCAGGTTGCAACAGGTCTGGGGGGTTCTGGGCCTGCTGCTAAACTGCCCCAGGCCCGATACTGGTGGCAGCTGGCCTTGATTTACAACAAGGCCACCCCCACATACCTCTAGGTCCAACACAGGCAGAAACCAACTGCATGTACCTTTGTAGCTCCGACCAGGTAGCTCCAGGCCAGTCACAGAAAAGCTGAAATTGACCTGCATGGGAGCCCCTCCCAAGAGGCACCAGAAACTACATACCCAGCAACTGGCCTCAGACCACACCAGAGCACTACTCAATTAGCCCCATAAGTGGCACACCCAGAGGGTGATCTCAACAAGCACAAAATCTGCTGGGACGAATCCCCCTCTGAGGGGTGAGCACCCACACAGCAGCTCATAGACTGTGGGGATGGCCAATCCTCACAGCTAGTCAACCTGAGGGTCAATCCTACCCACTGATATGCCAACAGCAATCAAGCCTCAACTACAGGAGGGCACATACAACCTACACAAGGAACATTCTTGGGGCAACCAGCTCAGGTGACAGGGAAACTGTGCCACTGGGCCCCACAGGACACCTACTACATAAGACCACGTTTCCAAGATTGGGAGACATAGCAGATCTGCTTAATACAGAGAAACAAACACAGAGAGGCAGCCAAAATGAGGAGACAAATAAATATGCCCCAATTAAAGAACAGGATAAAACTTCAGAAAAAGAACCAAATAAAATGGAGGCAAGCAATCTACCAGATACAGAGTTCACAATACTGGCTATAAGGATGCTCAAGGAACTTTGTGAGAACTTCAACAAAGTGGTAGTAAGAATAAAGAAGGAGATAGAAACCATAAAAAAGGACCAATCAGGAATGAAGAATACAACAACTGAAATGAAGAATAGATTAGAAGGGATCGATAGCAGATTGGATGAACCAGGGTATCAAATCAGCGATTTGGAAGATAAGGTAGCAGAAAACATCTAATTGGAACAGCAAAAAGAAAATAAAAATAAAAAATGAGGCTAGTTTAAGGGACCTCTGGGACAACATCAAATGTAACATTTGCATCATAGGGGTACCAGAAAGAGAAGCAGGAGAGCAAGAGGTTGGTAATCTATTTGAAGAAATGATGACTGAAAACTTCCTTAACCTGGCAAAGAAAACAGACATACAAGTCCAGACAGTGCAGGGAGTCCCCCAAAAAGATGAACCCAAACAAGCCCACACCAAGACACATAATAATTAAAATGCCAAAGGTTAAAGACAAAGGGACAATCTTAGAAGCAGCAAGAGAAAGGCAGTTAGTTAGTTACCTAACAGGTTATGTTAGTTACCTACAAGGAAGCTTTCATAAGACTGTC